CCCCAAAACCCCAAAACCCCAAAACCCCATAATGCTAATTTATAAGATATTTAGATAAAAATATTAATAAATTATAAAATTTAAGTCAAAAATTATTATAAATCTTTATTCTTTCTTTTTTATACAATATATAAGCAAAACTAATAGTGTTCTGAAGATAAGAAGTACTTTATTTTATATACTATTGGATTAACTTCTTATTCTGCTTATTTAATATCTCTTGATCTCTAAAGATAAAGTTGGTTCAATAAGAATCTTTCATTTAGGTGCTAGTGACAGTATTTAAGGTCATAAATAATTTTTACTTATAATATATTAAAATTAATCGAAAATGAAAAAATATATCTGTGCCGCAGGTGTTCTTTTCCTCAGCGACGTTTTCTGCAAACAACAAGCTAATTCCTTTGGCAAATCGGAACTTAAAACAGATAAATCCATTGTTAAACATAAGCTTCTCTCAATCATCAACGATCTTGATAATTAAATTGAGTAAGTAGTTGAAGATCTCAAGAAAGTCTCAAACTTAGAAAAGACATTAACAAGAAGATCAGCAAGTGTTCCTAAGAAAGTTTAATCTCTTTTCTAAGATGATGAAATTGAAGTAGAATCCGCTCCATTTAGAATTTGGTTTGAAGGATCAGATGCCTTAATTGGCAGACCTTAGTACAAAATAGGCAAGGAGAATGATAAATATGTAGTATATCCCTCAGATGTATAGGCTAATAAATACCAATCATTACTTGATCAATAAAAATATACTTATGGATTTGGAGATTGCTCCAAGGGACCCTGCGTACAAAGTATGATGGCACGATAAAATTTTCCAAGAATCAATGATGGCATGATTCACTTGGCGGATTGCAGCAAAGGTCCATGCGTCCAAAGTTCACTTCCTCTGAAGCATTCATAATGGGCAGATGATAGAGTAATTAGAATTGCTGACTGCTCTAAGGGGCCATGCGTTTAGAGTATGATGCCAAGATATAATGACGGTATGATCCATTTAGCTGATTGCAGCAAAGGCCCATGCGTCTAAAGTTCAATTCCTCTGAAGAATTTATAATGGGCAGATGATAGAATAATAAGAATTGCTGACTGTTCTAAGGGGCCATGCGTTTAGAGCATGATGCCAAGATATAATGACGGTATGATCC